TTGTATGTGGGAATGACCTGAGTTCTTATCCCCAGCACCAACATAAGTCAGATGTACTAACGTGTCCCTGTAATCCCTTACTAGGAAGAGGGATACAGAAGCATTGCTGGGGCTTAGTGTCCAGACAGTCTAGGCAAATCAGTGAACTCCAGGTTCAGTGAGAGATCCTGCCTCAAACACAACAGGAGGGATGGAGAATGGGAGAGACAGCTTAGTGGTTAAGAGCATTTGTTGCTTTTCTAGAAGACCCAGATTCAGTTCCTAGTATCTATTATCAAGCAGCCTGTAATTCTAACTCCAGGTGATCTGATGCCCTCTTCTGGACACAGTGGGCACCTGCACATAAGTCTCTCTCTCTCTCTCTCTCTCTCTCTCTCTCTCTCTCTCTCTCTCTCTCTCTCTCTCACACACACACACACACACACACACATACACACACAAAAATAAATCTTTTAAAACATGATGAAAGTAATAAAGGAAAGACACATGATATTGACCTCCACTCATCACATACATGTATAAACACACACATGTGCGCACACACGGAATGAACAAAGCATCAACCCAATAACTTATCAGAAGAATTAAAATCGCTGTATATGAGATACAGGCAATACACACTGCATAAAGATACAGAACTTAATTAGCATACTACGTACAGAGCCAAGGATACCTGTGAAGTTATACAAAGTACATTCTAAGGAAATGATAGAATAGGCTAACATAATTATGAACACTGAAACAGATCCACAGTCCATGGTTTTGGTTGATGATCTAGGCAGCATGCCCTATCTATAGGGAGAAATACTATTGTAGCTTCAGTGTAGCAATTGTTAATCAGTGAAGTATCCCATGAGCATCTGAGCCCAGTTCTGTCCTCTGTGCCATGGGAAGAATGAAGAGTCAGAGCTGCCATCCCATGTCTGGAGAGCTCTCAGAGAGCTGGCAGTGCAGGCTTCATAGACAACAGAAGAGCTGCTTGTGACCTTGACCATGGGTTCATGGTGGTGCTGGGGTGCTGCAGGGCCTGTGGGGAAAGAATATTAGACCTGAATTGATTGAGAAATATTAACTTTTGTCATATTTTATTTATTTCTTGTACATGTGTGCATGCATGTGTGTGGCCACATGTGGGTGCCACATTATGTGTGGGGAGGTCAGGGGATAACTTGTGGGAGTTGGTTCTGTCCTGTTACCATGTGGATCCTGGGGATCAAACTCAAGTTGTCAGGCTCAGTGTCAAGTGCCTTTATCCTCTAAGTTATGTCAACTGCTCCAAAATTAACTTTTTAGGGTCTCCAAACATGGGTTCTTCTCTGGGTGCTCCCACCCTGACTTCCCATCACTCCAACTTGAGATGTTTGAAAGCTTCAGTAGGTAGAAGGTACTTTTTAAAAAAAATACTGTAGCTAGAGTTTTCCTGCCTGGCCCACAGTCAGGACAAATCCTTGTCACCCTCCAGTCCCACACCCGCTCAGACCCAACCAAGTAAACACAGAGACTTACATTGCTTACAAACTACATGGCCGTGGCA